ATCCTGTCCGTGACTCCATGTATGTACGGGAGGCAAGCCCAACTCTTACGCTCATCATGCGTCTCTGTTGTCTCCGAGCGATCTTCACTGTTTTTCGGTCGAATTGCTCTATAGAAATCTTTCTTACTGTATCCATTCCAACCAAAGGCCCTTTCCATGTGTTTTAATTCTCTCTCTAACTCGGCTGGTTCGCAGATTCTTCTGGCTCTTTCGGTGAGAGTTACGATGACTCCTCTTTTCTGACAGGGATGATGGTTTGAACTACTGTGCAGGTACCGGTCGGTATGTGTCGGTTTTCTGTACACCGTGTGGGCCAGCTTTCCGTTGGGTTTTCTGGTCACCAAGACATCCAAAAAAGGCAGTCGCCCATCCTTCTCCACTTCCATAGTGAATTGAATTTTTTTGAATTATAGAACAAATGACTAATTATTCGAGTGGCAGCATCTGGCATTTTTTACATAAAATTTCAGATATATCCAAATATCGCTTGCCCCCAATGACTTCGGCACACTATCCAATCGTCAAATTTCTCCTAATTACAGTTTGCTAGATATCGATGGCAGAGGTTCTCGGTGGGACACCCTGTATAAGTTCAATCAAAATATTTAAATATACGTATACATCTTACTGTAGATATTTCAATGTTGTTGGACTTTCGATAGACTATGTAAATTATACTATATAACTTGAAAATCTATTCGATTTATCTGGATAAAGATTTTCTGGATCGAAAGTACGGGTCAAAAATGTTGAATACAAAATAAGTAAACTTATTAAATCGCAAATAGCGTATTGATTAGTATTACCTTTTAATTTAATTATTATTATTGTTATAACTAAGTTTATTTCGTCTAATTTTACCGCTATATAAAAGCAAAACTTGCAAGAGTCTTGCTGCAAGAGCAAGACCATGACCAAGACTTAACATGCAAGACCAATACCAAGACTGCCGTTGATTTGCAAGACCAGGCAAGTCTTGATCTTGGTGCTGCTTTGCTCATCACTAGTCAGGAGATTTGAGTGAGACGTGCGAGTGATTGACTTTGTAGGTCATCGCGGTGCTAAGCAAGGCCAGCGACAAGGCCGAAAGCAAGTACAACCATGAGGAGCGACCCTCGAAGGAGGACGAGGAAAAGTATCAGAAGCTGTTGAGCGACAACGAAGACCTGCAGCGGCTGATAGCACAGGTATAGTGTTTGTTGATTGTCGGCGGCAAGCCACTTGAGTGAATGATGTTCGTTTGCAGAAGGAGGAGAAGATCAAAAAGCTGCGCGACCGCATTCAAGAACGGGAACGGGAAGCGGGTGTTACTAGCGCAAACCCTCCAGGGGTCGCTGCGCTCACTCAAGGTAAGGACACGCTCATCGTGGCCGATTTTATCACGGACGCTGGCACTTCGGACTCGGCCTGTGGCGGCTGCGTTTCCCTATACACTCGCTCGTCGCGCTGCAGCCAATCGGATGCCGAGTTCAGCGACAGCTACCTGTAGCCTACTAGTGTTCCAGGGGCCGGTATGCATCATTTGAGGATCTAAAAAAATTGATGTATACCGGCCTAACAGTGTTGTTTGTTGCACTCTAATGCAAATTACGCACAATCATTTTTCCAAGTCAATTACCCAAACAGCCCCCTTTTGCATCCTATTTTACCATGTTTAGTGGCCTTTTCGACCCCCCATCTCACTCTCGTTATGACATAAAATCGTAAGTAAGGAAGGCTTTTCGCTCCCAAAATGACACTATAAAGCTTCCACGCGTTTTATGTTGTAACGAGATGAGGGTGTATTTTGGGAGTGAAACGTTTTTCCTGTTGACAGATACGAGGGACGAGCGCATTTGACTGCGACAGCGGCTGCCCAATGGGCCGATGGCGCGCCTTTTGCTACCCGGCAGCCCCGAAATGGACGATTACTGAGTTCAACAATAGAATAAATAACCGGCTCAACGTGTTAGTGATAATTAAATTAGGGTAACGTTAATATTTTTTTACATTTCGGTTGTCCCCTCGAGACAAGCGGCCCGCCCTGGGCCTGTTGATGATGATCGCAAACGATTCTAAATAACATTGTGATAGAGTGTACGCGAAATTTTTGTAGTTTTGAGCGCTTTTCCGATTATTGTGTTATAACGAGGATGGTTTTCCTGGCGTAGATGACGCACAACGTCGCGTTAGTGGCCGAATCGAGTTGCATGTCTGTTTAGTACGTAAAAAAGTAAACCACTTGATAATCTTCTTGACCACGCCCCGTCCTTTTGCCCCCCAAACATCAGTCGCAATAGACCCAAAACATTGTTAAATAGTTGTGGCATTAGATTAATGTTTAGCGATTATGGATGTACTAGAAATTAACGAACGAATCCACACCACTCCTGTGCATTATCTCCCAATATTGTCCGCGATTTCTAAATGGTACTGGTGCGCGAACACTCAGTAGATCAAGTAGTCCAACGTGCGTTTATTTAGACTGTTAACAATCGACTACATGTGTAAGCCAGTACTGATCAACACCCACTGTGCTGTCGGAATATGTGTTCAGATCCAATCAGCTACCTATTCTTATGTCAAATAAAATTTCTGAAAATGCATTTCTCTAAAAACTCTACTCGTTTGCCTTAATTAATTTCCCCTTAGAACATCCACAAATCCTCCTGGCTGGAAATTTACACAACCAACCATTTGTAAAGAGCATTATTTTAGAAGAACGTTCACTTTTCCCGGCTGATTAACTAATCACTCCGTTAGCAGGTTCCATGGCGACTTGGACGACGTGGAAGAAATTGAGACTTGACAATTTTTTTTTGCTTGGAGACTTATTATGTAAAACGTAAACATTCTTACAAATATATTAATACCAATAACAAGGAAAAAGGTCTGTGTAATAAGGTACGATTCGTAAATAAAATAAATCTTTTTAGCAGAATAATATGATTAAGAGTGCCAGGGTTTTGAATCCGAGAAAACCTCTCTTCTAAAGCAACAGCATCTGATTGCAGTGGCTCTTTAGCTATTTTTCTAACCAATATCATCCGAATTTTTTGGCTTGTCGAAAACTTGTCTCTGTTATCACTTCAAGAATACATTCCGAATCAGCGACATCACAATTCCCCTTAGTTTGAGTTTGGGTTTGTTTGTGTGCCCTTAGCATGGGTTTGTTCGTGTGTGTATAGGTTCGTTTAGGTTTGCTTGTGTTCGTGTTTGTATTTTACCTTGTCGAAGATGTCAATGCAAAACGATCAACAAATTTTTCGATAGTGTCTGATATTCAAATTTCGCTTTCTGGGTTAAAACTACTCGAATTTCCGCACTCATGTTGTTATGATTGAATTAAATTTTCAATTCTCTATCCAACGATGCCAAAACGAGTCTGTGGCTCAAATGGGTTCTGAGAAACTTCGAAAAAAATCAGCGTCATGCTTGAGTCGATTTTGCAACTCAATAAAAAAACAAGCGAATCTCAAACTTAAACTCTAAAGCAAAAACAAAGTGTCCTCCTACCGACTAGCCCGACATAGTAGAAAACCTGGCGCTGTCGGACCCAACTTACATCGTCTTCCCGCAGGTTTTTGGTGGAAAACATGTAACCGAGAGCGAAACTGCTGCAGTTCCAGTTAATCCAGTTGTCTCCAGCGGCGACACGGTTAGATGCACTTTGCCGCAGTATCCAAACACCGCCTCTAAAACTAAAGACGACGATCACAATTGTTTACCCAGTAAATGAGTCATTGATTACCTTCAGGTACTGTTAGTCTCACTGAAACAAGGGCGCAGAAAAGCACCAGCAACCACTTAGCGAAGTCGTAAGCATTGGACTTGTGCTTCCTCGGCCACGACAGCACTTTCCCGCAGACTTCCACTGCTTCACTAAATGATAAAACCAATCAAAAGCGATTGCGCTTTTTGTTATTATGCATGGTACCACATGGTACATGGGCGCCGTGCAAAGTGCCGACAGCTAAACAATCTTCCGAAGCGGGCAAATTTATTGATAAGGAGGGTCATTGTCAAATGACCCACTCATTATTCACTTGGCGAGCTTGTAAAGGAAATGCCCAATGAAGGTAAGCACGCATATTTTAACTGTGTAAACTGACTTCGAGGTGGATCTGGTTAGGGATTGGGTTCGTACAAACGCCATTTCTAAAACAATCACTAATTTATTCCGACAACCACTCAATAGGCAAAAAGGAGGTCCTTGTTGTGTCCCAGCTTCTCCAAGTTGGGGATGCAGGCGAAGTTGATCATCGGTGGGGGGCCGCACATCAACGTTACCGTATCTTCGGCCGCGCCGAATAAATGCTCGCGAAGCATTTCTTCGTTTATGAATCCTGTGTTGTACTTCCAACCTAAAACGCCCTTCAGTCAAGCAAACAACCACCTGTTTAGGGGGCCAACCCTACCTGGTTCCGCCTTGTCCAAGGTGTACCATAGCTTGAACTGATTCGGGTACTTCGCCACCACTTCTTCCAGCTCCTGCCGCAGCAGAATGTCGCTCTCCGTCTGATTGGCGAACAATGTAGCCACTTGCGTCTCATCGCTTTCGTCCTTGGCAATCTGCCTGATCAGCTGCAGAATGGGAGTAATGCCTACAACAGCCCAACATCACTCTCGACCTGAATTCTTCAATCCTCCTCAAAGCCACTCACCAACGCCCCCAGCGATCAAGTTGACCTTAGTGGCCTTAACAATGGTGGCCGGGTCCTTACGCATTTTTTTTATAGAAAACGTCCCCGGGCTGGTGTACTGGAGCCGCCCTGACGGTCCCCGAACGTCGATGGTATCGCCGATCTTCAAACTCTCCAAGTGCTGCGTCATTATTCCCCCGTTGGGGAACTTGGGGTGGACGTTCTTGAAGTAAACCTGCAATGGGGCTATTTAGGGTTTTTTTTGGTCATTTCGGGATCAGTACCTTGACGACCAGATCCACATAGCCGTGGTCGTCGTCGGAAGACACTGGCGTGTACGAGCGGATGATCATCTGCTCGTTAATCCGCGCAGAGATGTGGATGTGCTGGCCAATGGGAAGTCCTGTGGAGAAACACCCTCAAACTTAGTTTTTACGGGATTTATGCCAAACTAACCCAACACATGATCTTTGGAGGGAAGCTCGAACCTGAAATTGCGGGTATCGTGGCTAATGACCGTTTTCTCAATCAAGGGAAGTTGGTACTTGACTTGCGGGTCCTCAAGCAGCACCTTCCGGCCCTTGGTCCCTAAAAAATCACAGTCGGTGTTTTCATAATTCGGTTGAAACTAGAGTTGAGCAACAAATCACTACCTGTGATTTTTTCACAGCGATTAATGAATAGCAATCAAAAACTGTGACGAACGTAAAAATAAATTGTGATCTAAAATGTGATTGACCCAAACATAATTTTAAAGAGCGACTTAAATTTTCACTGCTAACGCTACTATCGCGGGTTCCGGCTCATCGAAAGAACGAAACCAAATAAAATTATTTTGTTCGTTAATGAAAGCTTGCATTCACGGAATCCCTTGAGCCTGGATTTTATTGATATTTTTGGGAATCGAATTTCAGTATACAAAATTCATTAGCTGTATTCTGATTGAGCATCGGTAACCTGTTTAGTAGTGTTTCTGTTTTGTTCATTTTTGGAATTGAAATTGTTTATTATGTATGGTGCTAAGCGACGAACAATTATTTTTTTGTTGAATTTTTTTTCTGTATTAGATTATAATTTTTGCAAAGCAAAGTTATCTTACAAAACAAGTACGTCGAATTTGAATTTGTTGAATTGCGCTATTGAGTTGTTGCCGCTCTCCGAATTAATGAATTCTCTGAATAAAAAAGGGAGATTAAATTTTTTTCTGAGTAACGTTTCACTACTTTGGTCAAACAACTAAAAAGGGTAATCTAAATTTCCCCAGCAACAGAACTGAGTCTAAAGAAAGTCGACGAGTTTTCTTATAAAATCGATCTCTTCATTTTTTTGCATAAAATATTCAGTTTGTCAGTATTTTACAGTAAAACGTTAGGAAAAACGCGGTTTTTCTGTTTAGAGACAGTCTTGTTTATAAATATTGACCTAAAAGTGAAGAAACTCCAGTTTCCAAGAGTTTTCCAAATAAATGATTACAAACTTTCGCTTTTTCAGTTCGGGGAAATATTTTTGGGAAAATACCCAGACATAATTATGAGAGTTTTGTTCATAATTCAAAGCTGAAAAAAGTTTGCAAACATTTTTGCAAAGCGGTTAAGGAGGCGAGTGTTTATCTTATAATTTTTCACAGAAAATAAGAGAATATTGTCAATATTTTAAGTAAAACTAAAAAATCATGCGATTTTTTCGTAGAAAGAAATGCTTAATAAAAACTTTGTTAAACCTGGAATGACCTGACAATTTAAAGAAACTTTAAAAATCTTCAGAGCGATGAGCGATGGGCTGCGAATATGACAAATACATTTTTGTAAACTTTTGCTCTCTGGTCGTTCTTTCAAGATAATCCTAATTATTTTCGGTTAACAACTGAATAAAATTATTTGGTTTTTATGTCAAATTCGAAGCTGAAAAATGTTTTCTAAAGTTCCCTGCAAACCCATGAACAGGGCGAATTCTCTAGCAAAATTAATTTTGTTATTGAACTGAAAACACCCCACAAAAAAGAAGAAAATCATCAGAAAATAATGCTTTTTTGCGTTTTCGGTTAAACACTTTTGCTTTTGTTGAGCAAAAAAAATTCAGTCAAAACTAAAAAACCACATTTTTTAACAAATTCTAGAGTCTTCAGAGGAATGGAGGTTACGAGATTTCCAAACGTTGGCTTATTTTGCTCGTTTTTTAATAGAAAATTGTTTGATTTTTGTTCTAAATTTTAAGCTGAAAGGGGATTTCAAAACTTTTTACAAAGCGACGAAAAATTTCAAATGTATTTCATATTTTTTCGCGGAAAACACCTTATGATTGTCAGCATTTTTAAGTGAAACTTTAAAAAATTGAACATTTAGAAGAAAGAGTAACTTGGCTAAAACTGGAAAATTCTGAAATTTGCAGACATTTTTAAAATATTATTAATAAATGGCCTTTAAAATAATTCTAAAAAAAGTCATCAACATTTATCCAACAATGGAACTGAGGAGCAACTACTACGCCGGTGAGCTGGGTTGGCGTACCACTCCATTTGCGCAGCACTGCGCCAGCTCCTAAAAATTCACTGAGTTACCCAGGCCTACAGTGACTGTGTAAAACCCAGTAGCGACAATAAGACCGAAGCTCCTCCCATTCGCCATTATGCGGCGAAACTATTTGCCGCCAACGGATCTTTGCTGTGATCAGTATGACTCAAGTTTTAATTTGAAATGATGCCTATGATATAAAACATTTTGGGATTAAATTAGAAACCAGCTTTAAAGATGA